AGGGAATGATTAGACCAACTCAGCAAAGAAGGCTGCAGAATGAGTTAAACGCCTAGTGCAACAAGTTCACTCGGCTATCCATGAAGCTGAATGCTAAGTGCACATACGGCTCACAGAATCATGGACGAGGTGCATGCTTGGGATCAAAACGAGAGACCGGGAGAACAGATGATCACAGAAGCACAAGATTGAGATAGCATTATGGGTAATCGAGTTAAGGTAAACAAATCCTTGGGCTTGGAAAGGTCACTTGGCTCCCGAGCTTGACGGTTGACGGCCCAGACGAATTGGGGAGTGCCAGGAAGCATATCCGTGAGGATGTCCTCAGCAGAGACGAAGCAACGAAATCGGCTCGTGTGTATGCACGTATGTTGAACTTCTCTAGAACCGTAAGCCAACCGTGCTAATCAGAGGTGTGGGGGAAGGACAACGAATTTCAACACAAAACGCCGTTCTAAAGAAATTATTTTTCAATTTAAGAAATTTGCTTTCTTTTTTAATGAGATCGTGTGCAGGAACTAGATGGATCGGCGAGACCTTCATCTGGCAGGGGATGGGTCATAGTTGGTGATGATAATGACATACATGTAGCACCGGATGTTTTAAGAACTTAGAATATTCCGGAATAGATAACCACATATATTACATGAACCCATGTGTACATCGCTTTTGCACATAATTGTAACGGAATACTTGAGTGCTGCTGATACACATACGTAGATACTTAGGCATGTGCAAATATACATAGTGTGGTTGTATAAGTACACAGGGAACATACAGGACACGCATAGACTACTTAGGGTATAGTGTCCAATGATAGGGATGCTGGCATTGGTGCTGACGATGATGGTGCAGCTGATGATAATTGTGCTGCTGATGATGGATATGATGTCTATGATGGATATGATGGTGATGGTAATGCCAATGTGGATTGTAACGACGAAGCTCTGCTTGGCCGTATGTACATTTGGCAGATAAAAGAGATAACACAATAAACACATAGAGGAACATTCAATAAACTATGACATCAATTATTCACAAACATGACTATGCACGTGTTTTCACGCGAAAGCGGTGTATTTCATATCTGTATGAATATAAAACTACGTAAAATTAAAAAAATATCACCAGCGAGGCCTTGTGTATATGCATTTTTGTAATAACAAGACGCATTGTATTGTCAAGCTTTTATCAGTTACAGCCTTGACATGTCTGTATGCTTGTGTGAATTCAAATGAATTTTTCACATGATTCAATATTCAAACATTTGGAGAGAGAAAAAAAAAACCCGGATAAATCTTCCTACTACCTCCAAAGGATCCAACCACGACCCAGCACTCGTCTGAATCGACGAGGGTTGTCTGCACGCGTCGAGTGACCGTCTGGGTCGAGGGATGTGTGTCCGTCTAATTGTACGGCTGTGTTACGGCTGGCGTGGCTGGATTACTCAAGGAAAGTGCGTGCGTAGTGATTGCCCAATTAGCTCCCGAAAAAGCTTCCAGAAAGGGGAATGAAACGTCGGACATCATGCCGAACAACACGCGGTACAATCCGAACAAAAAAAACACATCCTGAGAATCACGCAGCACAACGGCGGAAAGCGATGCAGCAGTGAGTGGTGGTGCCCGCTTGCTCTGTGCTGGAGGCTACAATCAGGCTGTGGGCTTTGAATGCGGCATGCCAGGAGGTGGAGATGTGGGGGGAGGGAGGGATGGAGTGAGAGAGGTGGAACTGGAGGGGGCACAATTAATGTAATTGGAGGTAATGATGGCTGGGCGCCACCAAATGGATCTGCTTTCCATCACATCAATAAGACGGAGCCCAGACGCTGTATAGAGCCCTGAGCATTGTGATCACTGCAAGACAGATAAAACAGGAAAGCGCTTTTCACGTTGGGTGGAAAAGGATTTTTACCAAGCAACGCAGTCTCGCGCAAGAGTTCACTGGATTTACAAACGACGCTGCGTGCATTCCTCAGCAGATGTTTAGCCAAACATTAACTTTAATCAACAATCTACGTCATGTAAAACTGCGTAAATGTAGTTGTGTACGTATTTAGTTCCATCCAAACCCGTTGTAAATGATTTATGTAAATAGTTCTTACCTCGACTGTTACCTCCACTGTGTGTGCGAAGAGTACTCATACAGCGATAATACATTTAACCATAAAAGCGTGTTTGCTTCTCGATTTATGTTATGTGTATATAAGACTTACCAGAAGATGAAAAAAACACATACTAGATAAGAGCTGAACATTTTCGTCACAGCAACCCACTTGCTGCACTGCTAATTTCTGCCACCAACTCAAAAGCGCAAGAACGTGCTGGATATCATAGCACTAAGCCAAATTGCATAGAGCCGATGGGTCAAATCCCACTTTTGCGTCCCAGTATTTTCTGCGGTGAATGAATAAAACTCAATGTCTTTTATAAAGTGGATATTAATGACCATGGCCCACAGTTATCAATAATTGGGCCTATATATCCTATGTGTTATACTGTTGCATTCCATATCCGTGACATAATATGATCTGTCACTAATTTGTGAGGATGATGACCCCAATTTGACCTATAACTATTGAATATTTTACCAGGGGCAGGTAACCCTAAGAGAGTTGAGCGGGTTGTCATCTGCTTAAATAGAAGATATATTGATGGAATGTAAGTTTGTACAAGTAGACATTAAACAAGATAAAACATTCCGATACTGTGTTGGCATTGGTGCACAAGCAGAGATAACAAAAAGACATTCGTCAATAACGCTGCTCTAAAACGGATTTTTTAAATTGAGTAATCGGTGATGCTTTAGGGAGCATCGCCTCTATGGTCCATTGCGCCAGTCGTACATGATTTTGGCGCCCCCTGCAGGATCTATTTATAACAAAGAGAACATTCATCTCTACTATGGTGATGAACCATTGCCCGAAACGTCGCCTATTCCTGTATATATATTTTTTCCTCTTCAGGGCAGTGTGATTCACGTGACACTTTTACGAATTGACTAGGTTTGTCTACCTAGTCACCGGTGCTCTTATCGCGAAACTGTTATTGTTTTCGTGTGTTTCGATAACGATATCTGATTTTTAAAAATGTAAAATATGTAAATTAAAGTTTGTAGCGGTTTTGGTTGACAAACGCGACAGACGAACGTGGGAGTTGGGCGCCACCTTTAGACGACACGTGTGAATATTTAACCAGGTGACTGCCTCATTATTGTGATGCATGGGATTATTGGAAACCCAGTATTTGACTCCTGCGAATTATCACCTAAGTGTTTCTCACACCCACTTCGGCCGAGACGTAAGATTTCAGTAGTTCACTGTAAAGTTTTTGCGAGTGATGGCTGGAATTTAAATGTCAACCCCACAAACTGGCTCCGTATATTCCTGCGTCCATTTTCATTTTGATCTCTCGCTTGTTTTGCCCTATCACGTGTTGTTCGGCAGTTCGTTCGAGGTTTCACTCCATATGCTGGACTGAAAAGCAACAGATTATGGAGGTGAAACGTCGGGAACATGATGCCAACAACACCCAGTATAATCCCAAAAACGCATCCTCGGAGAGCCGTGTAGTCAAAGCGCTTTGCTACTTTGGCCACATTTGAAGTCGTCGTGCAAAGTAACCCACGCTCGGCAGTAACATTTTGCGACATTCCAAATTTGAAGTTTTAGAAATCCTACATTGCTATTTTCATCCAGCAGTGGATTGATACAATTGCTGTATAAATCTCTCCATTAACCACCTGCTTGTTACCGGGTGGCACTCAGATTACCAATCCTTGATAATTGATCCGAGGCCATGGCGAACTTGTCTCTACCAAGCAACGATTGCTGTTATTCCCAATGTGCATGTGGGTTCATAGTTGTTGTAGTTGGCTGAAATTAAATTTTGTAACTCGTTTTGTTAAAATTAAATCTACATTTAGCCCTCACGTGCTTTGCATGCCGTTTGTGTTGGGCAACACTTCGATATATTGTATTTAGGTGCTGAATAAATGCAAATCCTTTAATCATACCCCTAGCTTTATTCAGGGGTGACCTTGAACCCCCCCCCCCCCCCCCACATATTCAGTATGTCAGGTAATAAACCATTCGTGTCATTGTGATGAACATCGTAAAATTACCTATTTTACCAGGTGAAGCCTACTAAGCTATATAGCTTTTTCAGAAGTGACCTGGCCACCGAAGAGGCATATCACGTGGAAGTTTATAGCAGACATGTTATTTTAAAATAAAGCAGACGATGTACATATCAGGGATGTGCTTCCGATTTTTCAGCTTAATCCTAAAAATCTGGAAACTGAACCAATAAATTTAATTTTAAATATACAATACGATTCGAATTGATCCGAAAGAATATCGACGGAAATTACATCGCATGTCATGCAGTATGTGCTTTTCCCACAAATGAGTGCCACATGGCATAGCGTGGCATCACTATTAGCAATGACGCACTGAATTATTACACAATGAAAATAACATGAACATGTGAAAAATATCCAAAATTGTTCTTAAAAATCCAAACATCCCTAATATATACACAGGATAGTGGTGGTAACCTACACTGGATTGATTGAAACAATCCCATGTCATTGCTTTTATGAGATATTGCCACAGGTGGTCACACAATGAGCTTAATAATTCAGTCACTGTCCATTTACTCTCAACAAAACCCTACCTTCTGGACAATAAGGCATGTTATCAGGACATGCCATCAGGACAATGTTAAAGAATATACCTTAATGTAAAAGGGTTTAACAAAAGGCCGATGGCTAAAACTGAGACATGGGGCGGTGACGTGGATTAGTGGTAGCACGTTCGTCACTTATTGCAGAGGTTCACGGCCCCATTCCAGCAGCCACCCTGGTTAATACTGTGGGTACATTGACCAGTGGACGTTAAAGATCCCGTGGTAGCATTCACAAGAATCGGCGATTATCAAACTTTGCTAAATATGAAAAAGTACGTGCAAATGACTCAAGTGAGATTAATACATAGCAACCATTGTTCCCTGTGATAACTTAGCAGGAAAAAAAGCGTTTAATGATACACGATCCGGACATGAGTAAAAGCACCAAGGGTTACCCATACAGTTTGAAACATAAGTGATAATGATCATACTTCGAAAGTCGGGCACTGTACTACTGAACATATTCTTGCAAGGCTTTCCACTAGTTGCATCCAGCATGATGCATTCTTACAGGTTTTTATTTAACCGTGTGTACACTAACAAGTTGATTACTTGTAGTGAGAATCTGCTGAATGCAATAATTTGCCTATTAGTATCATGAAACATTTTTAAATAACTCAACAAGGACTAGCAATGTGTTCGGCACACCCAGCATGAAACCCTTGTTAGGAAGATAGTATCGTACTTACAGGAATGTTGAATGCCGGGTTTTTTTATCTTAAGTTGTCACCCTGTGTATTACACAAACATGGAGCAGTCAATAGTTTACAGGCTCTCGAGTGCTTTACAAGGAAATATTTAGATTAATTGAAATTAGTAATTGACAGCCCTTTTTGTCCAAACCACTACTGCTTGAAAGCCTCTCCATACCTTTGGGGTTGTTTTGGCCATAGAGGGTTGGTTGACAATTATCAAACGGAAAACTAAGTAATGTTGCGCATTTCTTTACATTTTATTGTTTTAACAGCAACTACAATATGTAGAACTTAACATTTAGTAATTAGACACCACCAACAGAAGCTGCACATAAGACAGGACATCAAGAAGTAAACAAAATATTATTTTAAAATCCTTGATGAAAAGGCAGTTTTAGGAAATCAAAGAATGCAGTGAAGCCACATTGTCCATAAATATCCGTTAATTAAACCGAAATGATTTGATTGAAAAGCAAACTGTTTAAAATGGCTTTGGCATTGTTAATTGCGCCATCAAAATGTAGTCATTAAATAACTTAGCAGTTATCTGCTATGCATTCTTACGAAGATTTCTGCAGATCTTGTCTTTCAGCAAGGATTAAAAGCACAGGTGGTGCTGCGCAGTGTTGGCAGAAGTGCCCTTAGCCACTGGGAGGCAGCATCTCACCCCTTAACCAACAGTCTTGGCTTTCAACACTAGAGGGCCCAATCAGCATACGAATGATGCTCCAAAAGGCCACAAAATTGTTGGAACACTGCCTCAAAAGCACACAGCTGGCAAGCCACACAGCTGTTAAATATACATTTTAAAGGTCTGCTTGCACATCACTGTGGCTGGTATGCTCCTATTGTAAATGTAAAATATGAAGAATTAAAAAAGTGGTGCATCCGAATTTAGTAAGTGTGGTCATTCTAAATAAAATGGCAGCTGCACTTTTTTTTACATTTTTATGAAGTGTCATCCCGAGCGATTTCAGCAGTAAAGCAAAAAAAATAAACTGTCAAAATTTGTGAACGTATTTTAATAGACATAAAGAAGAGTTAGCAAATAAAATGGTCCTAAAACATTGCTGAAAAAAAATACAACAGTTCAAATACCAGAGTGTTGTGTTTTTTTAAGTTTTACACTGTAGCAACAAGTGTAGTTGTACGGAGGTAATTACAAGGTTAACATCATTGAGCATTTAATATCACTTTCCGAGTCCTCAGGACTACAAAATATATGTACAATATGGACCAAATGAGTTCTCAAATTAAGTTTGTTGTCTTCCCAGCAGCTCTGAGCCAATGACTGGTTCCAAAGAACAACTTTTCTTTTTGTCAAAAAGCAGTTTTATGTTACTTTTATTTTAAATTTTCACTGTCATGAACTTTCCACTTTCTCTCCACAACCCCCCCAAAGGCAATGTTTCTTCAGAAACCTTTCTCGGCAAAGTCCTTTTACACCATGAACGAGTTTTGATTCTTGAGTTTTTCAAGCTCCTTTACTTGTTGTCGTAAAAATAATATCCTGCAAAAGACAAAGACAAAACCGAATGAATCCCACTGAGGAACAGACCTCCACATTAAAGTAGTTAGGAAAAAAAGAGTGGTAATGTGGTAAAGCTTGATAATCCAAAGCTTATGAGCCAGAAAATAGGGTTTTGGAGAGAGTTGGCAGACCAAGTGGATTAAGTGAATGATCTGCGGGAAGATTATGCGATAAAAACTCACGAGTGAACGTCAATTGTTTCAATAAACCCACTGTGGGAGGTAAAGAAATGTAATGTTGGTTACCCAGTTTTTTTCCAAAAGATACCTCTCAATTAGCCATGTTCCAATAATAGGCAAACTATACTTTAATGGAGCCAATGGCTCGATATTCCAGGAAATTTCGTCGGGCTAGACAACCTTCCCGTTTCATATCACTTGAATGGACTATAAAGGTTATGTGATGTGTAAGCTGAATGGCAAACTTGAAAAATATCAAATAAATCCTGTATATATTAGGGCAATTGGTTACTATATTTTACTGTTGCTCAATAAAGGGCCTCACACCATAGCCCAACGCTATGAATAAAAAGGCAAGTTAGACGAATGAGTAAACCCTTGCGGCACAAACGTACCTCTGTTCACGCAGTGTCGCCTGAATTTCGCTAACTCGCACCAAGGACCTTGCGCTTTTCAGATCCGTGCAGATTTCTGACATCTGTAAACTCCCGAGGCTGTGTCCTTCTTCACGAAGCTTTGACGCCTGAAGAGTACACACAAATGTACCCGTGCAAGGTAACAGGTGGCATGTATAAGAACCTATGATATTAAGAGTCACAGAGACATAATCTAATTTTGATTAGATTCCATTTCAGTAAAAAAAATGTCACCGAGAGCTCACAGTACTTGTATTAACCATCAGGCTGTTTCCTAAAGCAAAAATTGTAAAGTAATTTTCATGGTAAATTAAAAATATGATTTGCCACGAGGAAACAAATGTCATTAGCTGCAATTGGGTGAAAATGGGTGCAAAACGTAAGTTTATATTTAACAGACAATTATTAAAACAAAACACATTTAGAAACAAATAAAAAACACATGGTGCAGTACACCCATATGCGTTGTGAACGGTGACACCACTCACCTGCTTCTCGGCATGTTCAGCAGGCCAGCCCTGCACGTGTCGCACAAGCTGATCGTTATAGTGAGCAGCCAGGCCGGCGGACAAGGTGCAGGGGCTGGACAGGGCCTGGTTTGGGAGGGCCTGGGGCACTGCCCCCGACTGCAAACTTCCTGCATGCGTCCCAGCAGCGCCCGGCGCGGGGCATGTGTGACTGCGTGCGGGCACAGGAAACACGCGCGCCTGTGACGTTCAAGCACACAGGCCCTTGCTTCAAATGAGCCGTCGGGCAACATCTCCATAATACCACCCCCTGCCAGGTATTAATGCCCATGCTGAGTTTGAGCTCCGGGTTCCAATGTGGAGAGTTTGGGAGGATTAGAGCACCTTGACTCGCCAACAGAAGATGAAAAAAATGCTGGACCGAGCCCGAAATACCTCCAACATTGTTAAGATAGGTACCCGGTTTGTGGGAGGTCCACAGTGAGAATGTGGAGTTGCCTTCTACCAATCCAGGGTCACAAAGGGGCACAATATCCAATTGTTCGTTTGAGCAGGGAGACGTTAGATTTTTGAACGTCAAAAAAACCTTTGGGGTGAAAAAAGAGGACAACCCACTGTTAATACATCTGCACATATGACGAAAACTCCTCAGATGATCGTTGACTAAGGCCTGATATATTAATATAGCATTGTTCGGTAATGTGATGTGTGGGTTTGCCATTGAAGTTGGTTCTAAAATGTATGAAAATGCTTTATTCTGTACCTACATAATAGACACTTAAGTGACAGTGCTTAAAAAGATAATGCTTGTTCTGCAACATGGTTCTTGACAGGGTGATTGAGCTGCACATTATAAACGGCCGATTTACGTATCCTGTTGCCATACAATCCCCCCACCTCGTAGGGCTATCAGATTTCTGGAAGAGAAGCCATATTTCCAAAGGCCAGTTGCCAAGCATGTAAAACTGTCATCGGCACTAAAGAACACATTCACAGTTGTGAAACAGGGTCACTGGGTGCCACTTGTTTATTTCTCTTTACGCTGGGTGTGAAATGTTTAACACATCTCTATAAATGCGGCGTCTGCGACCAGTGAATGTGGTCTGGGCCAGTGAGCTCTTAATGTCTACAGCAGAAAGGTACACGAAAAATATTTGCCAAGTTTGCAGACAACCTAAATGGAGTTTCATATAGTAATTGTAAAAGGTAACAAAATTACTCAGAACACTGTATAACTATGCATCGGTGTGCTTCATGGGTGTTTGATCCAGAAGTAACATCCGTAAACATTCGTGATTACTGTATGGCTCAGTTACCTGGACTTGAAAGGAAAAACAGCTAAACAGTATCCTTCTACCCTTTGGGAGCATACAGGGTGGGGCCCATAAGTCTGGGAAAAATAACTAATTCATATTTTGTTTTTGTTTCTGCAGGCCCAAGATGTCTCCGAGTAAGGAAGAACGAGTCCAGATAATTCTACTCGGAGGAAGGTCGCTGTTGAATTTAACAGGCTGCATCCAGACCGCGGAGCCAATAAGAGCTGTCCTGTTCCTATGATTCCAGACTCATGGGACATCCTGTATTGCAAAAGAACTCACCTATTTACACTAGAGCTGGGTGGCATGAGAGAGACTAGGCTATTATTTTTAAGCGTAATGTTTAATGCACTTTAGGTGACAGGTTGAGACAAGACAAGTGTCACAGGCAGGAAAGGTGGGGCAATAGATGGAGTTGGGTGGCAGTGTGTGGGCACAGAGGAGGAGAGAGTGGGAGCAGACCGCAGTACCAACAGCTCGGTGACGATGGCAAGACGGGAATATGAGGAAAAACGTGAAGGGGAAATCAGTAAAAGGCTGGAGGAGGTGGAAGGAGGCCTAACGTCAACAGCTATTTTTAGAGATTAGGAGCAATACAACACGATTGTATGTTGTATAAATAACATACCACAAAAAAAACAGTGTACACGTGGATAAGGCCTTCTATTTTTACATTTGAATAATGTACAAAAACAACAGTACTGTACAATAAAAAGGTAAGGGCAAGTTAACCTGGTGAACAGTGACTAAGGAGAAGACAAATCCAGACGGTGGGTTACTGGAAGAGTCTACCTTGCAGGTCAGGCATGGACTGCACGACAGCTATGGGACTCTGATAAAGAAGAAAGGTGGCTCAGAGATGGCAGTAGCAAGTCCTACCAAATCGTCAGTAAAGACCTGTCTGTATGGCTTTTAGCTTCGAGTATTATCCCACCATAACCAACGGTGTTCTCAAGATACTCTGGTTTATTCCCATAAGTAAAAACACTCCTTAAAAAAAAAAGGAAAAGACCAGCAAATACAACTAATGACCCTTCTGTAAAAAGCTTTATCTTTCAGATGAGAATTTCCTTTGTAAATATAGGACATTGATGAATATTACATGCAAAGCAATGTGAGGCTACTGAGGATTCTCACAGCCACACGGCCAGTGGTACCTTGTCGACTGATGCCTCTGACTGCTGCTCGGAGCTGGAGGCTCGGGGCTGGGCTGGGGCTGTCTGTCTCCGGGCTGCTGACCACCCTTCACGGGTGGAGCAGAGGTCTGCTCGGGATTACAAACAACAATACGTAACAGCAGCATCAGTTAACATCCAGGTGTGTACTCATAATACATAGGATCCTCAGTAAAGACAGTACTTCAAACATCTTTAGGAGTACATTTTGGCCTGCAGATGTGTGCAGACCAATGTGGTTGATAGCACTGTGTAACATTTTTTAAAACGTTTTTTTGTTCCTGGGTAGTAAGTGTTATTTCCTAATTGCTTCTGCCTCAAAAGTACAAAAAATGGCTATTATTCCCCACAAACTTTGCTTTTGTGACCAGGAGTGATATTTTGAAATTACCTATTTTCAATGAGAAAACGGGCGAATGTGTTTTTCGTTCACATAAAGTCAGAAAAAAACAACATATGATTCAAAACGAACATGTATTTATACTAAAGTAATACAAAAATGACTACAAAAGATTTAGACACCAAGGCACACTACCACAGGCGGGACTGGCCACAGAGGACCGAGTTCTCTGTGGGGAAGAACAACGTCAAGTGGGAGCCACTGGTAGACCCCCGGAAGGTGCTGATGCCACCACTGCACATCAAATTGGGCCTTATGAAACAATGTCTGAGCTGCAGATAAGGAGTCGGCAGCCTTCAAGTACCTTCAAGACTTCTTTCCTAAGCTTGTTTGAGGCAAATGTCAAAGCCAGTGCCTTCATCGGACCACAGATAAAGAAGATCCTGGAGTGCAATGAATTCCCCAAGAAAGTCACTAGTAAGGAGAAAGTGGCTTGGAACAGCTTTGTCGCAGTGGTTCGTGGCTTCCTGGCCAATCACAAGGTCGAAAACCATGTGGAGCTAGTTGAGACTCTGGTGAAGAACTACGGCACAATGGGCTGATGACGATCGCTTGGGTTGCGATCGAAACATCGTAGTTTTGTTATTTTTTTGTTATTTTCTTTAAACCTATCAACGTGACTTTAACGAAAGACCCAAAGAATATGAATTCTTGCAAGTCACGAAAGCTTTAAGTCAACGATCCTTCATGTTAAATGAGGCTTTCATGAAAAAAAAATTGGAGTACCTTAAGTTGAGTGGTGCTGTGTGGGGTGCTGGTCTGGCCCTTGGAATGGCTCGTGCTCCCTTGTGGGGTTGAGACTCGTGGGGAAATGTGAGCACGCGGGGATGAGACATCCGAGCCCAGCGATGCGGACGACGGACTCTGCTGTTGGGCTGAAATTTCAACACCTTCATGTCAGTCGCTTGCAGTGTATATTCAGAAGCTTTTTTAAGCGGTGCACAATTATTAAGCTCGAGTGCTTTCGGACAATTGAGTTTAATAATTAAAGAAACGTAACAATGCGCCCGAAGAGAAGAGTTTTTCAGTCAGTGCATATTGCTTGCTATGATACATGGAACAAAGAAAACAAAACAAAAACTGAAAAGTACACAAGCATGGCGATCCATGTTGGAAATTACAACAAGAAGAGAAAGAGGCACAAGTGGAGTATGGAACCTAAGAAATAAGAGATATGATATTCATTTTTAAAGACTGTTGGCTTGAGCGCCAAGTCATCGCTAGAAGGGATGATGGTTGATGGACGAGACTGGGAACAATGAACCAAAGGGGAAACACGCCCGAGAGGACGACCACTGCAGAGATGGAACGATGAAATCTGCTCCTGTGGAGGAGGCAACATGGATTGTCGCATCACAAGGCTGAGAAATGGCATTGGCGTCGGGAGGGCTTCATCTAGCAGTGGATAGATCAGGGGCGATGTTTATGATGAAAACTGTCTTAAAATGGGTTTTGTATACCATGCAATGTGACGATAATGCACCATAATCACGTAGCATGTGTGGTATTAAGCATTGTGGACATGAGTAAAGTCCAACAGTGGACTCTACTCTCACGTTTATTTCCAGAGTATAGCAAACGAATACCAAAGCTGCTCTTGAACAACACAAATTGTAAACATTACCATTTCATATTTATCAACATACTGGTCTCGGCTTTCAAAATTTGGTTTGGCACGGTACAAGCACCCCTTAAGAAAACACTGAGGTGTTAAGTCCACAAATTTGGATCTATTTTCTGCCCCTCTGTTAGGACCAATGTGAACAACATTTGTTCACAAATATTTATTTAACTTAATTTATTAAATTATCTTCCCAGTTGCAGTCATATGATGGCTTGAAAAGGGTTAAGAAACTTGCCTGAAGGCCTCCAGTTGTAAGAGCTATTTGGAAACCTAAATCCGGTAACATACAGTAATAAATTGTGAAGCAGGTTCTACACAACTTGAGTGGTCTATGACCATATATTTTTTCTAATTAAGTCTTATTTAATGTAATTTATGGTGATTCCTGCTTTGTTATGGCAGGACTGTGAATATCATCGTACAAAAATAATACTATCAGACCCGTTTTAGTAAAAAGGGTAATACAGGTTTTTACAAGGTGCTTGGTGTAATGTGTCATGTACATGCTATAATCCAAGATAAACTGTGAAAATATTTAATCGTTTTTACAAGTAATAGTTAAGCCTAATGTGAAAAATCTGTACGAGTCACACCAACGTCATTAAATTCAAATCATATGAAAACAATAATACATTGGGCCCGACTGCATTCTATCACATTACTTGTATTGGAAAATGTGGGTATTTGAACGTCCCAGAGAATATACATTAATCCTTCTGTAAATGCTTGTGCCAATTCATATAAAACAAATGCACATTTCAATACTGTACCAGTCAAAAAAGGTAACCCATTGGATGTGTTATGACTGTTTTTTCAAATGGTACATTTTACATTTATTGTAGAAATTGTTATAATGAGCAATATTTAAATGTGTAAGCTATTAAATTACTTGTGTACTTTAATAAATATTTAACATAAGCCGAAATTAGAATCGATCATTGAATATATTAAATTACCCAAAAGTGAGCATTACTATTGTTACCTATTCATTCAATAAAATGTTGCATTTCGCAAATGGACAAGATTAACTTCACAAACCCTCGGGTAAAATATCACAGCCTGTGATGACTTTTTGGAAAAAATCATGTGGGTCATGTAAAAGGTAAGAGGGGTTAGTTGCAACACAAGCAAGCGTACATTCAGATCCCCAGCTGCAAAGCATGCATAAGATGAAACCACAATGGCAAAGGCTTTTGGAAGCCTTTGTGAGAATCAACTCAAATTTGCGTGCAATTTCTACAAGACGAATGCAAACTAGGCTACCGTAGTGATAGTACATCCACTGAGCAATGCACTTAACATACCTTGAGAAGCTGGTTGTACTGTCGGTGGCAGCAAAGTGGGTGCTGCTGCCAAGAGTATTTTAGACAGAGTCTGAGTAAACGCTGTGAACAGAAAATGTGCTTTTCAGAAAAAGCAAATATATGAATGTTTGTTAAATTAGCACCACTGAAAATTGTTCCATTGTAATGCTCAATCGCCTGATTATAACATTTACATACTGTACAGCTTTCCCCCGTTATTAAATCGTTTAAAAGGTAGTTTAGAGCTTTCGCCAATTATTCTTCACTTGTGCTATGGTGCTTTGGTTATAGCATTCGAGCTACAATGTGAATTTTCAACACTCTGCTTGGCCCTAAAACCACTGAAATCAATGACTTGAGTATATTATAGGTATCTATATATATGACAAAATCTCACAGAATGTGGGAATTATCCTCAACAATAGAGATGCACAATAAATGTGCATCGTGGCCCTTCAAGGTTCTATCCAACACAGCAACCTGACTGCCCTCTCAACTATGCAGATTAGAGAGTCATCCTTGGCATAGTGGGAAAATAAGTCCCCTATCAGCCTGCACATGACCAAAGAAAATCAACAACCAAAATATATATTTTTTTAAATCAACCTTATAATAAAAAACTTCTGGATCCACGACTGCCGATTGTAGAGCAATAATTGTAACAGCCCTTAATCAATTTTTCAATGCCAAAAGTAAATCTAATGTCTCAAGATTGCAGCCTTATCAGAACTGAAAATAGATTTTTTTAATGAAAGATCTGAAATGTGTTGAGCGTTAATCAGCGAGAGGCAGCTTTGCACAAAGTGCACATGCTTCAAAGAACAGAAATAGAGGGCACAGCTTGTTTGTAATATAGCAAGGTACAGCTTGTTATTAATTACAGCTGTTGGTGGACAAAAAGTATGAATATACACAGGCTCATGAAAACGTAGTGAACATACAATGCAGCAGTATGTTTCCCACAACTTTATGGTTTTATGTACTGTATACTAGAGTTGGAGTTACACTGTTATCCTGCTTGAATGCCTTTTATTTCCATTATGCAATGAGTCTTAAGACTTAAAAGTGGAATGATAGCTAAAGCAGACAAATGCACCCCGGAGGATGACCACCCTGGAGATGGAGTGACCAGATCAGTTTGTGCTCAGATGGATCGTAGCATTGCAGGCCTGTGATGGAGGGTGATCATGTGGGGAAGCCAGCAGTGGATAGACCATGGTTTATGTTGATGATAAAAGCATTGAGAATGGTGACACTGACCATTTCTGACAATTTAAATATACCCCAAAGTCAGTGTCTCCTTTGGTTAAATGAGCAATCGGTGACTTCTTGGTCGTGGGATTCTTTTCCCATCTATTCTAAATCAGTGTCATATACTGAGTTGAAGAATATACATTCATCTCACAACGGGAAGTCTTTCTACAGGACAATCTCAGGACAACCACTCCCAATAAATGGTGTCAATTTCATCAATATTAATCAGTAAATTCCTGAGAAAGATTTGAATTCACGACCTTCGAATCGCGAGTCCAGCGCTCCACTTACTCAACAGTGTCACCTGGCCATGCATTTATCACAGAGTGCGCTTATTACCCTGAAAGTGCTCGAGACATTATTTGGGCAGCTGGTCACACAGTACTGGGTACCTTCCTGTAGTCGCTCTAGGCTGGGGCTGGGCTGGGGGGAGGCGTGCAGGGATGGCAGGGAGTGCCGCGCGGACGAAGCCTCCTGGCTCGGCTGGGGCTGCGGTTGTGCCGTAGCCGGGGTCGGGGTGCTTGGAGCCGGCCGGGACACAGGTGACGGCGAGGGCGACGGGGTCGAGACGGACGCCGAGGGAGCCCTCTCCGCTGGGGCGTCCGAAGAATCGCGCCCTGTGACTGGCACAAAACCACGACACGGGCACACGTTACATGTATAGAGAATTCCCTGTTTAAGCCTTATCATAGACTGTCGTGCCAAGTCTATGCATGTCAGCATAGTACGAGAGGATGCTGTGACCACCAAAAATGCCTGTGGTACACTGCACGTTTGCCGAGTTGACCTAAGCAAGGTTCCCCGAGGCCCAGATGGTTACATTATGGCTGCCTGCTCAAAATCAACATTTAGCACCACATTTTTTTCAATTCAATCGAATATGAAAAAATTGTAATCAGCAAAATTTTAAAGTGAATAAAATATTGGTACATCCTTTATTAAAATAAATTATTTTGAATGTCTCACTCCCATCAAATGCATTAGGTAGCGCTTATATTTGGTGGCAGCCCTGAGACAGTTATAGAAATTCCACATTCTTCACTAAGATATAAATTATTCCATAGAATGACTGATAATTTCAATGCAGGAGAGATGGGCCGAGTTGATCTCTGACCTCGATTTCAATTCCAAACCTTCATTTTTTGAGTCAACCATTTTTATCAGTGCTGCCGAGGCCAGACAATGGCCTCTAGTTCAAGATTGCAACACGAGTAAGAATCTGAAGAAAATATAATAATTCAATTTACCCAACAGGGCCAAAACGGAGACATGAGAATTTTTGTGAACACTGCTGAGCCTCCATACCCTTCTTGTCGGTCTTGTGCCACGTGCTGGGAATGTGCAGCTTGGGCAGGGAACCTGCCCCATTGGCATCTGCCGCCTTCTTGCAGGTACTGCCGAGCACGGAGCTGGGAGAGCTGTTGGGCAACTGGCCTCCTGCCGGCCGATGGCCGGGCAAGGCGTGTGGCTGAGCGCTGCTACTGCCCACAGACTCGGTGCGTGACAGCCGGTAGTCCCTGTCATTGTGTTTGCTCGTCTGCGAGAGCGAGTTTTGTGACAGAACGCCCCCCGTCTCGCTCGATTGCTTCTCTTCTGCACGAGATATATATAAACTATAGCTTTAAACAAGGTGAGGATTCAAGCTAAAAAAGTTAGTGAAGCAAATCCTTTGTGGTAATATTAAACCAAAAATTCAAGTATTATTTTTCATTCCTGCAGCAATAGTTTTCATGTCAGCTTTTCCCCATCCTGGGACAAATCGCTTGCCAATGAGCTAAAATTACATATTCATGTAAAAATACAGTGTCTTCCTTATACAATGACCATGGGGTAGTTTCTCACTTCATATAAAAAACACTGAGGCTTATTGTGAAAGAGCCACACTCCTCTGATGTTGGGCACTCTCAACCACTGACAAGGATTTGAACTCAATTGCAAATTGAACATTCCAATCATAGTGCAACCCAAAACAGAGCCATTTGACAAAAACAAAAGAAGTCATTGAAGTTGTATTTTCTCGACTTCACGTTTTTGTTAGGCGATGCAGAAAATTATCTGCTTTTCAAAACAATGGAAAAGAGGGAAGATTTGTGTGGCTGTACCTGGTGTTTATTAGAGCACAACTTTAAAAATGAAATATCTTTTTCAAAACCCTTGAGCAAGCTTCAAGCATCACCACCTATGACAAAGTATTGTTGCTCTGAGTTACAGCTCAACCACATCATACATTTTTTTCCAAAACTGTGAATTCAACTTTGTTCAATTTACACCCATTTATACCTTGGTGTGCACTTAACAATGTTCTTGTTCGGGTTTACTTTAAACAAGCATACCGAATACATTTTCTGGCAATAAAACCAAACAAATCCAATTTTTTTTTGGAAGCGTGTCAAACAATTTTTCCCTTTAACCGCCAATCTAATTCTCCAGCAAAGATCCCACAGCAGTCAGCCAATGAATGGTTTAGTCCCACTTACCAACATATCTGTTCGAGGTATTGTTTTGTACAGTTGCCTGCATGGCCTCTCTTCTGTAATCTCTATCTTTAGGAAAGCTGTTTGTAACAGCCATTCTGTTCGCCGCTTCTCTGTGCCGCTGTTCCCTGTTTAAAAAGAATAAAAGTTTACCAGGTGGTACCATACAATTGCTTATCTGCAAACAGATAGTATTCCTTTTATGCACCAATTCTATTGAACGATTAAAGTATGTAATATTACAAATTATATTATTTTGTAATATCACGTATAATTTGTTGATTTATACAAGATACACTTTTAGATAAAACAAAAATGACAAAAATACAGCTTTAGAAATGTTAAAAAAGTTGAGGTTGGTATTTGATGGCATTGGCAAACATCAGTTTTGAAGCCAGACCCTAATAAAACAACAAAAAAGTGGCTTTCTAGGTTTATCTTAATAGTATGAAGTGCCTCAAAGCTCTAGGTCCATGCAACTCTTCGATACATACACTTACATTCAGGGGTAGTTGAACAATGCTCAGTATATAACTTTTAAGCATTTTAACACACAAAGTAAACGATTCAGCATGGCAGTTATTTACTTTGAAGATTACTTTATCCATTCCAAGATATTTCTGGGAAAAAAAACGATGTTGGATATGCTCTAGTAAACTGAACGTGCACCAGGTAATTTTTCTGAACAAGTTAATGGGATTGATCATCCTACAACTTTCTCATTTAAATTTGAATAGATGTCATCCATCTACTAGTACATGTATGTTCCATTATCATGACCTTGTCTTGATTTGGCATGGTTCCCAGAGATGATTAATCACAAATGCCCTAATTTGACCAGATATGTACTGGTAATGCCTGTGTAAATGTTCATATCGCAATGTTTCAAAATACAATGGACATATGAATAGCAAACACCAACCTTTCAATCCACTCCTTGGGTTTTTCCCATTGGGAGACTTCTGTCCTGCAGTTGTAATAGTACTTCTTTCCAGAAGAACTGATGTGCTCTGACCAGTCATCGGCAGGATCGTGTGGCTATCGCAACAAAAAACATGATTTCAAATTATGCAGCAATACATCAACTGACCAATCACAAAGTGGAAGCACACCCGATGATGGCACATCACTGGTTGTTGTGTACCCGTGTCGTTTCATGGTCATGGCGTTGCCTTGGGTTTATGGTTTGCTGGCTCAAATATAACATCAATCCCCTTTATACCGCACCCAAACATGAAAACAAATGTGCCCCATGAAAATAATCCCAAGGCATGAATTTGCAAGTGTAGGCCAATGTGTGATGTAACAATGCTAAATTTAGAAAATAAGCAGAGTTGTATAAACACAATATTGTTCTTTTATAATAAAGTTTTTTTCAGGAATCATATCTTATTGTGCTATGATCATATAAACAAAGCGGTTTCCCAATATATCCTACTATAAAAAGCAATATGAATGGTTTGCTGTGCACCTGTTACACAATTGAAGTTTGAACGAATTAAGCACGTGACAGTCGTAACAGAGGATATTTGTAGTCGGTGCATAACTCCTATCAGACCATCAAACTCGCCATCTTACTTGGGAGCCCAATATTCAAATGCTGCCCATGAGCAGCACAGACAATGAACATGGAGATGATTATTACCATGAACCCCCCAGCAATCCAGTCAAGTCCAAGTAGGGGTAGATTCACCCTCCAGCAATGTCATGAATTGTCACAAATTCAGTGATGATTCGACTAAAATTTTTATTCTTTTTGTAATACTGTGATAAATGGTAGCACCTCTAGTAGTTTTCAGGGGTGATGTGAGCCCATTAAACACAACAATTTTTAAATAAACCGATTGATCAGTGCATGGTTCCACCCCTGTTTTTAACACTGCGAGTAAGGGAATTATCCCAAGTTGATCTGACAGGCTAACCACATAGTCAAGTCTCTGAAAAGCATTGCTGACCTATCAATGCAGTTTCAAGACATTAAACTCACTTGAGGAGCTGGATTCTTGTAATGTTCACTCTGATGTGAATTTGACACAGGACGAGAATGATTTCGAGAACTTCCATCCACAGCATCGCTTGACCCTTGACAAAAATAATCAGAATGTTAAGTATGGATAACTGTAAATGTAATTTACACTTGTGACATGAAACAATCCAAAGGTCAGAGTTGAAACATGTGGTTGCACTGTCTCTATTAAACTGCCATAACTACACAGCATTGCAGTAGAACATGTTGAGCAGATATAGGTTATATTATCCGAAGCATTATTATAGTAATGATCAAAAGTTATGCGTACATTTTTTCAGGATCAAGTCAAATGCGTTCCATGTGTAAATTATGAACAAGTGGTTTGGACACTTATAACAACTACTGTAGCGTGGTCCACGACAGCATAAAACTTGAGACTGCCACTTACAATCAACAGTATACAGCATAGCCAGGGTGCAGTCACCAATTCCGGTGAACAGTGGCCAAGTGGGGCTGGGTTACAGCACTTGACTTGCAATAATACTATTGCAGGTTTAAATCTCAACCTGGGATCAATTCAGCCCATAATCTCTTAAGAGGCTGACAAATTGCATACCACTTTGTGAGCAGTCAAAAGTGGTTGCAATCTATAGAGAGCCAACTCCAAAGAAAATGTAGAATTTCACCACTGGCAAAGGACTGTCAATGGCACCAAAAGACAAAGATCCGCCATGTAGCCTTTAATAAACTGTTCACGCAAGTGCTCTTAGCGAGCACCTATGAAGGCCGGCATGGCACACGAAAGGGGTGGGTGGCCAGCACCACGCACTACCTGCTGCACTACCTCTCCTCTCAATGGCACCATACACACCACCACTGCCATACACTCCTTTATGCGGGGAAACACTTGACGACATTTTTGAGTTGGTCATCACCCAGTTTACATTGCAGTCAACGAAGCTGCCCATCACTGTGGTGCAAGACACGACGCTTTCTGTACCTCCTCGGCACCTCTCTTTGGGCCTGTGAGACTGCAGGGCCCTGGGCCCCGTACCATCGGGGCTGCTGGATCTCCGCGGCATCTTGCACGACGGAGACGATCCTCTCGAATCCCGCATTTTATCATTACGATTCTCGCTGTCTCCTTGAATCTTCGATGGGTATTTATTGACGTTCTGCAACAAAGCAGGACCGTCGCTGTCTTAAGGCATTCTGCAGATGTCTGCTTGTGTCGAGCACAGCATGTTATACAGCGTTGTTTACTTGTTTCCCAATGACATTATCAGGTTCATAAAGACACATTGAGAATGCTGTACAATCTATGATGCTCGTAAGTAGGTTTCTGATATAGTTATGGGATTGGGATTCTGGTTCTGCATTTCATACTTATTTTTCCAAAGTTAAAATGTCTCATTTATATATTTGGTGGATACATTTGCTTCATAAACAGTTCGGCATTGTGTTTATAGTTCAGTACTGTCCAATAATTTAAATGGAGTAAAGATGAGGGCAAAAGGAAAGCCTTGATTATCATGGCTTATCTCAATTTAGTATTAGTGCCAATTAAACAGACTGATGTTATATATTCATAAAATACCTACGTTTAAATTATTTTAATAAACAGCATAAGGAATATAGGTTTTAGTGCAATTTTAACTCATAGATGGTTATAGCTAAGTTTGTTTTTTCACTTGCAGATACTGGCGCAGGGGTAAGCTAGGATATTATATTTCAAAGTATTATATTTCAAAGTTGAAAAACATTGCATCTGAACAGGTTCTTAAATTGCTATACATTAAACGATGTGTCATGATTAGCAAAAATGCCAGGAATTGGTCAACCATGATTCAAAGCTATCGTTTCCTTGTGATACTAAGAATTGGAGGCGATCATGAAGCGATAGAAGGATATGGATGTTTACTGCTGATGGGATACGCTAGTGATGCATTCTGAAGGTGGAAATTATGAGTGTGGACAAGTTGAGTGTGCTGATGGTGACAAATGGCAATGATACCCAAGTAATTATGGTACTCGTGCCAGTTGTGGCTCGTATTGGCGAGGGTGGTTCATGGAGCGTACAGATAGTATTGCTTGGGATGTAGATGGGTTATGAAGCGTGCTGATACTATGTAAGATGTTTTGAAAGTTTCTTATGGGAGATCACTGCTCATGGCAGCTAATGCATTGACTGTAGCTGACATTTGCTGATTGTAGATAAGTATGGCTGCTGATGAATATTGATGTTACGATTTTTATTTAATTGGTTGCTGCAAAGGTTTAGATGCAGTAATAGCCTACAGTTGCTTAAGGTATCTTACGGTTGCAGATGATAGGGTTATGATGGTTGGGCATAGATTGTAATGTGTGCTGGTGATTCCTGATGTTAAATTAGTTGCTCATGGTTGATGATGTGGGCTGTTTGCCGATGGGTCTCAATAGCTGCTCACAAGTTGTGAAAGTTGGCAATGGCTGTTGAAGGATTCCATTGGAAGCCAATGGTTTCAGATAATACCGGATGTTATACGGTTGCTCATGTTATATCAATGATAATACTTGACGGTTTCTGATATAAGTTTACTGTTACCGACGTGTGCTACAATTACTGTTAAGTAGTGATGGGTAATTTGGTTGCGATGGTTGCCGACACCTATTTGTTGACAGCTGCAGATGGCAGCTGCAATGTTACCGCCGGTTAACAATGGTCAGTTATTTGCCTTGCTTGGGAGCTGATGTGTGCTGATGGTTATCGATAGGCTGTAACGGCTGCTCATGTGGTTGGGAAGTTCGCTTGTCATGGTCGCTGATGGTTGCAGGCAGTGATAAATTGAGATAGTAACTGATGGGTCGTGATGGCAGCTGATGGGTCGTGATGGAAGCTGATGGGTCGTGATGGTAGTGGGTGGGTTATGATGGTAGCTGATGGGTTGTGATGGTAGCTGATGGGTTGTGATGGTAGCCGATGGGTTGTGATGGTAGTGGGTGGGTTATGATGGTAGTGGGTGGGTTATGATGGTAGCTGATGGGTTGTGATGGTAGCTGATGGGTTGTGATGGTTGCTGGTGGGCTGTGATGGTAGCTTATGGGTTGTGATGGTAGCTGCTGGGTTGTGATGGTAGCTGGTGGGTTGTGATGGTAGCTTATGGGTTGTGATGGTAGCTGGATGGGTTGTGATGGTAGCTGGTGGGTTGATGGTAGTGGGTGGGTTGTGATGGTAGCTAATGGGTTGTGATGGTAGCTAATGGGTTGTGATGGTAGCTGGATGGGTTATGATGGTAGCTGGATGGGTTGTGATGGTAGCTGGATGGGTTGTGATGGTAGTTGATGGGTTGTGATGGTAGCTGGATGGGTTGTGATGGTAGTTGATGGGTTGTGATGGTTGCTGGTGGGTTGTGATGGTAGCTGGATGGGTTGTGATGGTAGTGGGTGGGTTATGATGCTAGCTGATGGGTTGTGATGGTAGCTGATGGGTTGTGATGGTAGTGGGTGGGTTGTGATGGTAGCTGATGGGTTGTCATGGTAGCTGGATGGGTTGTGATGGTAGTGGGTGGGTTGTGATGGTAGCTGATGGGTTTTGATGGTAGCTGGATGGGTTGTGATGGTAGCTGATGGGTTGTGATGGTTGCTGGTGGGTTGTGATGGTAGTGGGTGGGTTGTTATGGTAGCTAATGGGTTGTGATGGTAGCTTGTGATGGTAGCTGATGGGTTGTGATGGTAGCCGATGGTGTGATGGGTTGCGATGGCAGCTCCGTGGCTTGCGATAGCTGGTCGGTTATGGACGTTATGGCTTTTGGTGGCCGATAACGAGGTTACAGTGAGTAAAAGCGATCGTGGCGGGATGGTTGCTGGACGTGTTGTGATGAAGGCCCATGGTGACGGTAGCCGATCGCCTTTCACGACTGCCGATGGGTTCGTGATGGCAGTCGATGGGACACACGAGGCCGTACGCGACCTCTCCTCTCTCTCTCACCTTGGCCGGGCACCTCACACGGGGGGGCTCCTCCTCCTCTCTCATGATACCTGGCTCCGGCCCGCAAAAAACACCAGGGTGGGTGATGGGAGAGAGGCACAAACAACACCGCCACGACGCGCTCAGGTCAGCTACCGAGCCCATAGCCCGACTCCGCGGTCGCCGTCTCTGAACTCGGCTCAGCCCGAAGGAGCGCGCGCGTGAAAGCCGCGCAAGGCGTCGTGTCGGGCCCGGTGGGGAAGGTGCCGACGCAGAAGCCCGAGGCGGCGGCGACGACAACAACAAAAAAAGCAGAACATGGCGGACGGGCCGACGGGAGACAAACAAGAAGAGGCGATTTACCCATCATTGAGCCTCGGCGGCTGCCTCGCATACATTACCGTCGACGCTTAATGCAACGCGCTCGAATGTTACAGGGTCGGGGGTGACGGGATGGGGGGGGGGAAAGGCGAGTAGGGGTGGGGTTGCGTGTTGGGGGGGGGGGGTTGCAAACGAGAGGCGCTCGAGTGAGCCGCGTCCGTCTCGCCGCTCCCCCTCTCCGCCCGCCGCTCTCTGCGTCTCGCCCGCTGCTCTCTACGCGCGCAGCCGCCGCCGTCTGCGACTCCGCCGAGACTCCGCCATTGACGGGTGGTGGCAGTGGCGCGTCACGCTCACATTTCCCAGCGCGGATAAGCGGCGGCGGCCCGCGCGCGCACACGCGTCACGCGCGAATTACGCAGCGCGGACGAGCGCGGTGGTGACGCCATCCGCGGACTGCATTGTGCGGATGAGCGCTGTGGTGACGTCACCCGCGAATTTCATATCTCCGATAAGCGCGGCGGGGACGTCATCCGCGGGTTGCATTGCGCGGATGAGCGCGGTGGTGACGTCAACTTGCGCATTTGCATTGCGCGGATGAGCGCGGCGGGGACGTATAACGCGAAATTCATATCTCGGATAAGCGCGGCGGTGACGTCGCTCGCAAATTACGTGGAGCGGACAAACGAGGAGAGTGACGTCGATTACTCATTCCGCAGTACGGATAAGCGCTACCGCGCGCACGGATTTGATTTCACACTGCGGACTGGCGTCGATGCGAAACAGATTGTATTTCGCAGTTTGGATTAGCGCAGTCGCTGCGCATTGCATTCGCCCCTTTGTGAGCGTCGGGAGCGGAAATGACATCGAGATTGCATTCTCTAATACGGATAAGAGTGCTGTCGCGTGAGGTTTGTATTCTATAGCGCGTATAAGAATACACGCTGCATCTCGGCTCCCCATTGCCCAATCGCTTCTTCCCTCGCCCCTCCACTCCCTCCCGTCCCTCCTCTATCCTTTCGTGGCCCCTGTTGCGATCACTCATTCCTGGGCCATTGCACTGCCCCTCCCAACGACATGGGGCTATGCAGCACAGCACCTGAGAACTTTGAATGCAGTGTCCCTCTGAATCTGCTCGTCCACGTTCATTCCACCATACCGGCATGTGTACATGTGTAGTGTCAGTGACGCCTGCACACTCTACACAGTCGCTCACCCTAGCCTGTACAGTGGCCCAGCGGTAAGACAATTTTTTCACGGACCGGGTGGGTTCATCATTGGGGCTTTCCCCCTTTTCAAAGAAGCTCTCCAGCGACGTTTGTTTTTTTACTCCTTGTGGCTACTAGGGGTTAGAGCTTGTGGGCTTACCAACACTGTGACTGAGACAAGCGCGCAGTGCGGGAAAGAGGCGGACGGAAGTGGTCAATAATAAAATATGGGGGCGGGCCACGCGCGGACTCACCGCTCTCACCTCTTGCTGCGCGGCCCAGGCCACAGACCGGTACCGGTTCGCAGCCCGGTTCCTAACAGGCCACAGACCGGTACCGGTCCGCAGCCCGGTTCCTAACAGGCCACAGACCGGTACCGGTTCGCAGCCCGGTTCCTAACAGGCCACAGACCGATACCGGTCCGCAGCCCGGTTCCTAACAGGCCACAGACCGGTACCGGTTCGCAGCCCGGTTCCTAACAGGCCACAGACCGGTACCGGTCCGCAGCCCGGTTCGTAACAGGCCACGGACCGGTACCGGTCCGCAGCCCGGTTCCTAACAGGCCACAGACCGGTACCGGTCCGCAGCCCGGTTCCTAACAGGCCACAGACCGGTACCGGTTCGCAGCCCGGTTCCTAACAGGCCACGGACCGGTACCGGTCCGCAGCCCGGTTCCTAACAGGCCACAGACCGGTACCGGTCCGCAGCCCGGTTCCTAACAGGCCACGGACCGGTACCGGTTCGCAGCCCGGTTCCTAACAGGCCACAGACCGGTACCGGTCCGCAGCCCGGTTCCTAACAGGCCACAGACCGGTACCGGTCCGCAGCCCGGTTCCTAACAGGCCACAGACCGGTACCGGTCCGCAGCCCGGTTCCTAACAGGCCACAGACCGGTACCGGTTCGCAGCCCGGTTCCTAACAGGCCACAGACCGGTACCGGTCCGCAGCCCGGTTCCTAACAGGCCACAGACCGGTACCGGTCCGCAGCCCGGTTCCTAACAGGCCACAGACCGGTACCGGTCCGCAGCCCGGTTCCTAACAGGCCACAGACCGGTACCGGTTCGCAGCCCGGTTCCTAACAGGCCACAGACCGGTACCGGTCTGCAGCCCGGTTCCTAACAGGCCACAGACCGGTACCAGTCCGCAGCCCGGTTCCTAACAGGCCACAGACCGGTACCGGTCCGCAGCCCGGTTCCTAACAGGCCACAGACCGGTACCGGTTCGCAGCCCGGTTCCTAACAGGCCACAGACCGGTACCGGTCCGCAGCCCGGTTCCTAACAGGCCACGGACCGGTACCGGCCCGCGGCCCGGGTGTTGGGGACGCCTGCTGCACACAACACTCACCGTCTAACACTGACGGCGGCGGCCGAGACAGCCAGCGACGATCTGGCAGCGCAATGTCGAGCGAAGGCAGCAGCGACGAGACGACAGCGACGACGAGACGGGTCCAATCCCAGAACCGGCAGCCCCGAGCTCCCCCTCTCGGCTCCTTTTGTCCTCCCAGCGCGGCCTAACTCGTGCCCTTCTCGAACCCACTAGCGGGTTCCAAGGGCTTCCAGACAGGGCTCCTCCGTGACCCTTGCCCCAGTTCCTCCACCCTGCCAACACAACCTCACGGGCGTGTGTGCTGTCCGTCCACCAGAGTTGCCGCTTCTGTCCACCAGCTGGCGCTATTACACTACACGTGTACTAAGCCCCTTTGACAAACATTTTGCGTGAGATGTTACTATGCAATATCACACTTCGCAATATCACTTTCCCACGAGCGCTGTCATTCACTTCTATTGTATCGATCCATTTTATGGATTCCATTCTCGCCATCCATTTGCCCATTCGTGCGTTTTCACTGATAGGGAGATGCCGGTACTCTCTACACGCAGATACACATGGGAGATGGGGGGCAGGAAAATAAGCAGTAGAGAGGTAGAGAAACGACGCACCCAGAGACACTTGTAAAGTGTTGTGTGTGTGAGGCGCAGCGGGTGTTCGGAAACCGTGACAACCCGCACGGTTTAACCCCGTATTCTTGTACATTTTTTTGGTATACAGTATTTGTGTTTCTCCCTTGTGATTGGGACTTTGTAGGACGAACGTTGAGATTTGTAAGGGCACGGGGTGACCAATAAGGTCTGGATTGGTCTGTAATAAGGTGGGGCACTGATAAGGGGTTGGCAGGTTGTAACCACACACCACCGACAAGCTGCTGAAACGTGACTCCACAAGTCCGCGATGTTCGGTCTCATTACGCACCGTTTGAAGCTATATCATGGCATAGCTGCTCACCCCAAGATATAAATGCTCTGCTAGTGCATTGTCTTTGTACTGTTCGCCTTTTGGCGTTGTTCTCTGGTCTGATGCTGGTGAGACTGGGCACTAAAGAAGGCTGTCTCTGGTATAGGCTAATCAGTTTCAAAGACAATGCCCATATTTTATCAGAGCATGTTTGTTTTCACTTTCACCACAGGTACTGTGTGTGGTAAATGCAGACTTGATTCCTTGCAAAAGGGTTTTATTTTGTGTTTGAACATGTTAACACCAGTTTTATTGTATAGAAAGGGTAAAACCTATTCTTTTTTCATGCATTGATACTCGCAAAAAAGGTCCCATATTGTAGCAACTCAACCCGTGCTATAAATGCCCTGATAGTGCATTCTCTTTGCACTGTTTGCCTTTTGGCGGTGTTCTCTGGTATGACATTGGTGAGACTAGGCCTTAAAGAAGACTGTCTTTGGTCTAGGCCAATCAGTTTCAAAGACAATGTCCATATATTATAATCAGCATGTTTGCACGTTCACCACAAGTAATGTGTGTGCTAAATGCAGACTTGATTCCTTGCAAAAGAAACCTATTCGGTGTTTGAACATATTAACACCTGTTTTATTGCCAGAAAAGCTAAAACCTATTCTTATTTTTCATACTTTATACCTGCAAAAAGGTATCGCATAATTGTGTTGATGTCATGGCTAGCGGCCACAAGAGGACAGCATCATACCGGTCACTTTAAACTCCAAATTGGTGACCTAGCGTATTGCCAATGCAATGCACTCGGTTAAAATAGACACTGTGACTCTAAGGACGGATAACGTAATGTATACTTCCCAAAAAAAAAATACTCGATATAATCACTATGAGGATAAAAGTGCACGCGTCCTTTATTTGTCATATATATAAAGGACTCGGTGATGACATCTTGAGGGAGGCCTGAATCCAATGGATTGAAACAGGGCAGTAATTAATCATCTTCATCGGCCGTGATCTATCGACTGCTGGATGAAAGCATCGCCAAGCTATTGCTGTATCTAAGACTAAACTCTTTTTGTTTTTTGCCAAGGTAAGGCCCATTGAGTTATTTTGCTCTTTTTCAGAATGAACCTGGCCACAAATGATAGCTCAACGAAGTGGCTTATCGTGTGGTAATGCATAGCAGATGACAACTCCAAAAGTACAGGCGTCAGGGACTGGATAGAACCCGGTATACCAGTCGCGGTAGTTAACATCTCGCCACCATGAGGCCCCTGTAAGTCCAGAGACTGTATAGAATCCATAGAGACTCATGCGGCTCATAGGCTGTGGTAGCCAATAGCTCCTGGCGAGCAAACCTGCTGCAGCAGCAGGTAATATCAAGTCTTACACCAGTCAGCAGGTCTTCTTTGTATACAAAGAATATGTGGCCAAGTGTGTAGTGTTTGGAGACGTCGTTGTACATACTGCACTGTTATAAATTACCGGGTATGCCAATTCTTTATTTTTATGCCGACATCGGCTGGTTATATTCGTTACTTATTAGCATATCAGTGTAGAGATTGGTATACACAGGAAGATGCTCGACTGTTTATGGCTCGGCATCAAGAGTCTGGAGCTGCTTGCTGAAAAGTCAATAGGTTAAGAGTTAAAGAATATAATTAGATGATCCACCTAATCTAGATATTACTGTTGAAGCCGTGCTTTTGAAAAGTGAACATCTGGACATGTTGAGAAAATACCCCTATATAATTGCACACACGGCTCAGCAAACATTTGCATATATATGACACAAATTTTAAGTTATTGAGTGCTTGTGTTTTAGCTGTCTGTGGGATGCACATTGAGCAGTGATGTCAAATAGTTTGGCGGAATCAATGGAGCAGATACAAGGCATGGTCGAGTAAATGTTTCTATGAAAGTGAACTGCTTGGATAGTAAGAGGTGAAAATACTCTGCTATCTAATGCATTGTGC